CAACTCCTTCCATGTCTCCTACAAGACCCTCTCAAGCTGATGGCCTCTTTTTCTTTGGTTATTTTTATATATGCATAAACACATATATGCATAAACATAAATATATAAATACCACCTGCCAAGTCCCATTAGTGTTGCTTATGTATATGTGATTTCAGGGCTGACCATTTTGTACTGGATAAACAATTAGGGCACTCATACCAAGGAGAGATTGATTCTTCTCCCTCAACCGTCATTAGCTGTCTGGTGTTCTTTGTTTAGGGGCGGTGACCCATGATTTCCTCCTTCTGTCTGTGTTAGGATGTTTATTGGTGATGTCATTGTTCAGATCTTTCATAAGCAGCCATGCTATTGAGGTGTTATGGGTGTACCTCCCCTATCATTTTCAGGAGATACAATCTCACAGCAGACTTCCTGGTCACCTGGCTCTTACAGTCTTTCTGCCCACCTCTTCTGCAGTGTTCTCTGAGCTTTAGGTGCAGGTTTTGTTGTAGATGTACCCTTTGGGACTCCCCATGATCACAGCGTTATGACCAGTTGTTGCTTTCTGAAATGTTCTCTGTTTTCTGCAAGAGAAACTTCTTTTTCTGGAGGGGTAAAAGCTGCATTTTATCTATGGGCTTGAGTTTTAGGATGCAGTTAGGAATTATGCTGGTCTAGTACAGTGATGGTAGTGGGTTCGCCTTAAGATCCATGACCTCACTAGCCCCAGGTATTTGGCAAAGTTTCTAGAAAGTACCAGACATTATTTCTCTCTTTTTGAGTGGGCCATTCTCCCAATTAAACAGTCAGGGTTACCAACAAGAAATGAATACCATTCTTCCATCATTAGGGATATCTTGCCAGGCTGGACAATGTTGTGGTTCCTAGGCATCACAGCTGGGTAGCATTGTTGATTGCATCCCTCCCTTGACATCATAAATAGCATTTTCTGTCCTATGGCATTTACTCAGAATCAGTCTTCTGGGTCCCATCTCCAGTGTGTAGAGCCTTCAGCTGTAGGGACGTAACTTCAACCTCTGAGAGGTAAGCAAGGACAACAGCAATGGTCTATATTGTTCTGGAGGTCACTTGGAGTACCCTGACAAACAGCTCAAATGGAGATTTCTCAGGCCTGGTAGTGGGGATGATTGTGGCAGGATGGTAATCTGAAGGGGACTTCTTCCATAGAGGAGAATAGGGAGGTCAATATAGAAGAAGAGGGGCAAATAAGGAACAAGTACCATTAGTGATGTTTTATAAAGTCTCCAGGAATCATTGTTATTTATGTAAAATTCTATCTAATACATGTATGCACACACACACACACACACAAATACCTTAAATGAAGCGTTACCACTTGGGCTGATGATGCTCCTCACAAGAGCCATAGATTAGCTTAGCCATTTTTTTTTTGGATTAAATTATTTTCTTGTTTAGTTTTTTGAGTCCTTTGTACATTTAGGATATTAATCTGTCAGATATTTCTTGGTATTCATTCAGCAAATGTTTATTCCAGATAGAACTATAGTTTGTCTAACACATGTGTTTACTAATGATCACCTTGGAACGATATCACTTTGCAGGCTCTTGCATCCTCAGTTGCTACCAAGCTACCTCTTCCTGGTTAGTCAGCCCGCCCATAGTGACCCTGTTAGAACTACATACAGAGCCTAGGATATACTCAAATGACTTATATACACTAAATTTGCCCCTAGCTGAGTATTATTTCCCTCCTGATTATCTCTTAAGTTTATTCTGTTTTATAATCTTAGGTAAAGCCAATCTGTATCTTTTCAACGTCATGGTACTCTGACAAGGATAAAACTGAGCTGTGAAATGTTTTGAAAAGGGAAAGGCTAGGTATCTTCTGAAGAGGACAAAGAACCCACAAGCTCTGGAAACAAAGTCTAAACTCCATGACTCACTAACTGAGGACTTTGATATGTTATCTAAACTCTCCGAGCTTTTGTTTCCTTATCTGAAAACTTCGGAATCTTAGAACCTACACTGTGGGGTTAATGACAGATACTTATAACCCACATAAGTGGGTGCTATAAATTGTGTTTTATTAGTATTCATGTTTGATGTTTTTCCTGCACTGAGCACTCCAGTAATTGTGTAGTATGTATTTATTTCCACAGAACAGTAAGTAAATGCCTCTTCCACAAATTGGTCACGGAGAAAATTTTATAGCTTATTTAATAATAAAAATCTCCCCGTGTCTCATAGTAGACTGCCAATTCCTACTGTAGTGGGATTTAGTAGGATGAGAAACTACGTTTTCATGTCAAGTCGTGTCTTAATTCTCTGATCAGTGTGTAAACTGGCTGTCCCTCAAGGGACCTATTCCTCTGCTGATCTATAATCAGGTAGAGTACACACAGTACAAAGCAAGATGCCCTTTGTAGAGATCATGAGTCACTCACTCTCCCTGGTAAGAGGCTGTGGAAGCCACAGCAATATGCTTGGCAAATCTGCCATAATCCGCCATGACAAGAGACAAAATGGAAAATTAATGTGTCAAGGTATTTGAAGAAATTGAAGAAGATGGAACCCAGAACAGAGCTAACTTAATTCGTGACAGAAGAAAACTTGTCTTTTCAGTGAAAATGGGGAAGGTGGGTGACCATATGGCTAAACGTGTAGACATTGTAGTAGTAGGCACTTCATGGGATCCACACCAGATGGCCAGTTTTGGTAGTAATAGTGGAGGCAAGATTGCCTGAAGAGAGGGACAGACAGAAGTAGAGCCTTGGAAAGTGCAGCTGACACGTCGGGTTTGACTGGCTTGAATCTGTAATCGGAATGAAAGTGGGAAAGGGTCTGCAGCTAAAAGAAACAGGGAAACAAACGTTGATTGGTCAGCTTTGACAATCGAAGAATGCAAGACTTGGACCTCTAGTGATTGCATAATTTTATCCATAAGTGAAAATTAGGTGCTGTGTTTCGAGTGGGAGGAAAGCTTGACTCAGCCATTTTGCATTATTCTTTTAAGTAGAATTTTTTCAACCTACGACACTAAAAATAGGCTGTATTATTTTCGCACATTATCCCTAGGGTGTCTTAAGTAGCCATGGCAATGATAACATCACATGGTACCGTAGATGGCATCTTAGTGACAGTCATTTGCTGTGCTTTTTAAGGGCTGTACTACACAACAACACAGATTCTGATGGTAGACTTTCTAACTTTCAACTCAAACTTCATTGTTTACTCTCCACAAGATCTTAAGCAAGTTAAAGTCTTCTGCTTTTCCATTCCACCTATCAAGAGTTGAATATCCGTACAACTACACCTGATAGCACCTACGACGTGAGACTGAAGAAGTTAAATGAGACAGTTAACACAAACTATGTAAACTCTTGCTCCACCCTGTTATCAGTTCTTTCTTTTAGGCAGCATTTAGACTTCTTATTTCCACTTCTCCCCTAGTCGAGTAGACTGACAGATGGTCATTTTTCATAGATATTTATTATCTCACAGCAACATTAAGCAACTGACTTACTGCCTTTGCCAGGAAAGCTGCCGCTTCGTTATCTTACTACCCGCCGGTTGTATCAGTCCTCTTTCTACTTCTTCCAGTTGTTGGTTTAATGCCCACTTGCTTTGCACCTCAGTAAATAGCTGGATAATAGATGGTGTAAAATGGACGGGGCTGTAGGGATCCTTGCATCGGTAGCATTTCCTTCAACTTGCTTAATTGTACAGGCTCTTCAGGTCACCAGTGCTGCAGACTCTAAGATACGTTTGCTCAGAAACAGTAGCTAACCACAGTTTGTCCCCTAACCTACCTACATTGAATGAGTTGGAATTGTGTTTTAGTTCATGGAGAGGATTCTACTAACCTACGCATAAGCATGGCTGATTATACTTTCCATTGTGCCCTGCTTGAAGGATTGACAAAGCTGACCTCTGGTGTCCTGACATGTCTTAAGATAATGTGCTAATATCTTTCTTTTTATTAAAACTTAGTTCTAAATCATACACAAACCAAAATTCTGATAGGTTTAAGTTACCAATATTCATTGGATCATGTGTTACTCCCCTTTTAATGGAAGAAACGACTGCTTTACATTTGCTGGTCCTCTTCTAGTGATGTTAGCATTGCTGCATAGCAGCATAATTTCTTCCAGAAGTCTCATATACCCAAAGTAAATTGGTATCACTTCACAGAGATAAATAACGAGTTTCCAAACGCTATTTGTCTTGTCTGTAGAAGTGTGCTCCTTTAATCCCAGCATTCGGGAGGCAGGTGAATCTCATGAGTTCAAGGCCAACCTGGTTGACAGAGCAAGTTCCGTAACAGCCAAGGCTACACAGAGAAACCCTGTTCTCGAAGAAACAAACAAAAACCTTGACTTGAGAACAAAATACATGATCATGATTATATTAGCATCTTTTGTGCAGTGTTAGTTTTCCAAAATACAAAGTCTTTAACACCCGTAGGTCATAGTGGTTCTATTTTGTTAGTTCCTTTGTAGGAAGGCAGGTTTGTTTGTTTGTTTGTTTTTTAATTTAGTCTTTTAATGTTCCTTTATATAACCTCCATGGTCAATTTAAAACAACCTTTTTTCTCTTTTAGTTTTGTCTTTTATTTGTTTGTTGTAGAAAGAAAAGATTTTTGCTTGGATTGAATTGGTTGTCTGTCTTTGATATATCAACAAATATTAAATGTCAAACAGTACCTAAGTCAGAAGACAGTATAGGTCCCTATGTGCTATACACATTGCTGCAGCCACCTTACTACACAAGGCAGTTTACTGTCCATGAAAGCACATAGAATGGTTCCATAACACCTTTATTCCCACATAGTATCTTTCCCCTTGTCTGATTCTGTACTGTAAGAAATAAGGCAGGGCTGGAAAAAATTCGTTAATACTCTAATACAGGAAGTTAGTAAAAAAACATTCCTTCTATCATACAGCAAATACATTCTCAGCAATTCTTTGGTGAAAAGGTGGGTTAATTATTTGTGTGTTAGGTGTGTGTATAAAAAAATGAATGAAAAGAGAAATGGATCCTCCTGCAAAGGCGTGTTTTGGGCTCCTTGTTCTTGACACGTAAGAATCGGAGGCAGAAAAATGTGGATTTGCAAAGTCTGAGACCGGCTTGATCCATTCAAGCTCTGGATCATCCATCCCACAGAGAAGAGAAGAAATTAAAAAAAGAAAAGAAAAATGGGCAGTGTGGAAAGCTGCAATATGGGAATATAGCTTCCAGTAGAGTTACCTCATTTTATCTTCCCAACTATCTCATGATCTTGCAGACTAACACTAATACAATGTTGTGAATGCAGAAGCAGAATCCACATGCCTTTCCTGGAGTTGTCCAACAAGGATTAAGTTACATCCATTCTAGAATGTAATCAAAGGAAGTGGAGCCATCCTGTGTTTCTTTCCTTCAGACCTTTTCTTCCTCCTTGCATGTTTGAAGTTGCTCTCAAGTGTTGTTGGTTTTGCTGAAATCACTTATTAAGGGCAATAGAAAAATCACCGATTGTTATATTCTAACGCTGTTTCCTTGGCTCTGCGTAATCTTGGGTCTCAATACCATGGCGATGGAGTGTGGGAAGTAGTGAGCAGGTTCAAAGGTAGGTGGGTAAGATGAGATGTGAGTTGGAGGTGAGCAGGGTCAGGATACTTGTAGGCAAGATGAAATGTAGAAGCCAAGCGGGAGATGCAAATGAAAACCAAACAGAAGCCCATTCTTAGCACAGAACCTTTAGAAGGTAGCCTGCATGGCAACACACCTTACAGGAGGGTTGCAGGAGCTATATTACAGCAATACGCACGCTATTCTCTCAAGTGAGAGATCAGTGTTTATAACATAATGGAAAGTCCTCACTCGGCTTGTGTTCTGCAGTCTGATATGTGTTCCGATAACGTGATGACCTAAGTGAGAACTCTGATTTCAGTTCTTCCTGTAAACATCTAAGAACTCTCTGTATTGTTCTCGTTCTTAGCTATTTTAACTTCTTAAGATTTATCTATTTATTTTATGGGTATAAACATTTTGCCAGCATGCCTGGTGTCTGCTGAATTCAGAAGAGGGTGATTGGATCCTCTAGAACTGGAGTTACAGAAGGTTGTAGCCATGTGGGTGCTGGGAATCAAACCCAGGTTCTTTGCAGGAGCAACCATTGCTCTAAATGGCTGAGCCATCCTTTAGCCTTGTAGAAGTTCAGCTTGGAAAATGTCCTTAACATTTGATCTAGCTTGTTTCCTTAATGGCTGCTTGTTTTTTTTTTTTTTTATAAATGTCTTTATAAGAATGTTATAATTGATCCAGTGTTCACAAATATTAAACAGAAAATGTAACAACACAAACTATTCTCTGCCTGATGACACTGGAGACATTCATTTCTTCTTATGGTTTTAGGCATTTGAGAAAAAAATAATGGCTGGCTCTTTTACAATCACTTGAGTTGAGAGTCATGAAGACAAAGTAAACAAGGATTAGAACAGAAAAAGCCTAAGTTGAAACTAGAAAGATAGCGCAGATAGTTTTAAATAAAAATAAATAAAAAATAAAAAGGTAGTTCTTTGAAAAGATCAACAAAATCAAAAATCTTTAGGTCAATTAAAAAAGAGCAAACACTCAGATAACACGATAAATGAAGGCAATTTAACACTTCACAAGGACTAAATGATTCTAAGAAAATATTATGAGCAGCTGTGTCCAACAAAGTTATATAACTTAGTATAGGTAAATGGACCAGTTTGTAGAAACTCACAACCTGCTAAAGCTGCTTTAAGAAGAAAGCAGCAATCTGAACAGACCAGTTTCATGCATGAAGATAGAATCAGCCATGAGAAACCTCCCCAAACTAGCCCAGGACAAGGTGACTTCATTGACATCTTCTGTCAAACAGAAGGGAAAGAGTCAGTACTTTCCCTTCTCAAATGCTTGCAGGCGAGGGTAGAACTCTGCCTAACTCATTGATGAGACCAGCATTACCCCAACGAAAAAGGCAAGAACTTCACAACTACAGACTAATAGCCCGAGTGTAAGTGCAAACATTCTCCCCAATAGGCCAGGAAGTGTATGATTCTGCTCACTATAAATGGATTGTGTACTGTTATGTGTTATTCATTGAACTTTGATGAAGATTTTAAGAGCTTTTCATATGTAAAAACATTGTAATACACCACATTGATAAAATGATTGATTTTTTGAAGCCATAAAAATAAGTATTTATTTTTGGTTGTGAGCCTAGACCTAGATGGAGGTGGGTGGTCCTTGGGCTTCCCACAGGGCAGGGAACCCTGATTGCTCTTTGGGCTGACGAGGGTGGGGGAGTTGGCTGGGGGAGGGGAGAGAAGGGAAAGGGGAGGCGGTGGTGGGGAAGAGACAGAAATCTTTAATTAATAAATAAATAAATAAAAAGAAACATAAAAAATAAGTATTTATTTTTGAATTTTTGAATCTCACTGTTAGCCTTTACTGGCCTGGAACTTGCAATGTAGACAAGGCTGGCCTTGAGGTCATAGGAATCCACCTTCCTGTGCCTCCTGAGTATTGGATTCAAGGTGTGTGCTACAATGCTTGGCATGACAACTCAATTTTAAATGAAAAAAGTAAATAAATATTCTCTGAGAAATATATATGGAAAGATGCTATTCAAAACTCCAAGGAGATACCCCTTGATGAATGTCAGAAAGGAAAAATGAATCACTAGTGCTGATGAAGATGTGGAGAAATTGAAGACCTGGTATGTTAGGATATTAAACAGTACTTTCACTGTGAAATACACCTTGGCCACCTCTTAAGAAGCAAAATATAGAATAACCATATGGCCAGTAATTCCTTTCTTATGTATATATGTCCAAAGAATTGAAAGCAGCACCTGAAACAGATACTTGTACTCAAATGTCTGTAGCTCCACTATTCACAGTATCCCAAAGGAGAAACATCCACATGTACCCATCAACAGAGAAACGAATAGGCAAGATGCGATGTACATATGAAAGGGAACATTATTCAAGCCATCAGAGGGATGAAGAGTTCTGTGGCAATGGGATCAACCGTGCAAGCAATGTGTCTGCTGTAGTGGCCCAGTCACAGAAGGCTAAGTACTGTGTGATAGCTTACCACTTACATAAAATGCCCACAGTTGGTGAATTGATGGAGAGATTATATTAGGCCTGGGAGGGGAGAGAGGAGGCGCTGATGAGCTATGACCAGTGTTTTATAATTTAAGGCCTTCTGGATTACTAATGCGTAGAATGATGGCTGTAGTGGAGTTTCTGCCCTTAGACCAAATCCCAGGGATAAAGTATCTCTCCTTGGCACGTGCAGAAACTGCTGTTCTCGGGATTAAGCAGAACGTTAGAGTCCTAGGACAGGAGGGGAGGGACATATACTGATAAAGCCCAACTCCGCTTCATGGTGGTTACAGATAATTCTGGGGAGCAGAATAGAACCATCTTGTCAGAAAGAGGAGGCTGCCGGCAGGAGATCAAGGCATACCCAGGTTAGCTGTTGCCAAGAGCCGTAAACAAGATCTTAGTTCCTTCTCCTGGACATAGAAATAACATCTTTATGAAAAACTGAACACTAAACACACATGTATTAAAATAATGCCCACATTTGTTCATTTATTCCACAGTCGTTTACTTCATGCTACACACACTCGGGAGAGGCAGAGGCTGTATCTTTGTAAGTTTGAGACCGGCCTGGTCTACAGAGCTAGTTCCAGGACAGCTAGGGCTACACAGAGAAATGCTGTTTCAAAAAAAAAAAANAAAGAAAGAAAGAAAGAAAGAAAGAAAGAAAAAAAAAACCAACCAAACAAACAAACAAACAAAAGCAAAAACAAAACAAAAAAATCAATTCCTGTTTATTTTTCAGATTTGCATAGACACTACTCTGGTTATTGTCCAGCCTGGTATCCTTTTACAGTTATAGCAAATAAACTCTTTCTCCTATTCTGGCCTAAAGAATGAATTTGCTCTGCGTCTCTAATGTCTTCCCTGCTACTGTGGTGAACACCTGGTTCTCTAGAAGCAATACTGAGGGAGGGAAGGCTGGTAATGAGAGACCAAAACCAGAGAAGGGGCCCCCATGAGGAAATTTTCAAAAGCTTAGTCCAGAACCCCCAAACAAGCTAAGCACAGCGATGCACAACCTAGCCCTAGGGAGGCTCGGTGAAAGGATTAAGACTGCAAGGTCAGCCTGAGGCAAGTGAGAGCCTACCTCAAACAGCAAAAATAGACTTTCACTATGGCCCAGAAAGCAGTCTCTTTTGGAGACAGTTCCTCGGGTTGCTAAGTAGAATGTTTATTCTCAAGCCTTTGGGTGGAATATTCTATTGACATCTGTTAAACCCATTTGATTTATCGTGTAGTTTAAGTCTCAAGTTTTTTGTTCAATTTCTGTCTGGAAAATTGATCTTTTGATGAATTGGTTATTTAAGTCATTCACTATTTTTTTATCTAGACTTATCTGTCTCTTCGTGTCCAGTAGTATTTTTCTTGTGATTAAGTGTGATTTATATGCATTTATCATTGTTATATATTATTGACAGATTCACTTTATTAAGTGCACTGGCTTTGTTTATTATTTCTGCTTTATTTTACTTGAAGTCTACTTTGTCAAGTAAAACAATGGCTTCTCTTGTCTATTTCCTACTTCTATTTACTTGGTGTGTAGCTTTTCGCCCTTTGACTCAGCCTCAGACAAAAGTCCCATGGTTTTCTGCAGTTACAGATGTGCAGTACCACACCAGGCTATAGCATAATCGTGTTATCCTGTAGCTTTCAGTGTGGCATGCTGAAGGCTTATGCTAACATGATGGGTTTTTAACTGTGGTCACAAATTTTCTACTCATGGTAATTATAAGTTAGCTTTCTATCCTTTGCATAAATTTAAATTTTTCCCTACGTTTTTCTGTGTTTTCCCTCCTGGTAATTCTTATATTTTATTATTTTTTTTCTCTTTCCTTCATGTGTAGGTTCCTGGGGTGAGCAGGCATGCGTGTATGTGTGTTCAAACACGTGTGAATGCACTTGTGTGAGCAGGCACACACGCATGTGTGTGCTCCTGTCTGAGGAAGCCTGTGGTGGACAGCTGCCGTCCTCCACTGCTCCCCCACCTTATTCACTGAGGCAGAATCGCTCAGTCTAGATCGCACTGATACAGCTAGAGA